TGGCAGTGGCCCAAATACCTCATGAAAACAGGGGGGAAGGCCCAAATGGCAGAACAAGCAGGAGGACAGCTCACTCTCCTGCCTCCTGGCTTCCTCCTGAGCTGATCTCCTCCAAGCACCCCTTCAGCCTCTGGTTGTGGGAGCCTGCTTTGCCTTCCCATCCTGCTCAGCTGGGGACAGCACAAGGAGCCTGGCAGAGCTGGGTAGGTGGGTGAATTTTACTTTCCTCACCTCTACAAACCTGAGTTAAACTGCGCCTTAATGTGTGTATGGGTGAACCCCACTGCTTTTCTGTTCTTTGGGCACCTTTGCACTGGGACGACTGGGAGAATGCCCCATCCTTAGGCCAAGGGCAGGGCGGAGTGACAGGAGGGATGCAAGGGCTGAGGCTGGAAACAGTCAGGACTGGGGTGGCACTGGTTACAGCTGGAATGTGTTTGCAGAGTTGAGAAGGGAGGGAGGCCAAGAAAAACCCTTGGTCAGGTCAGACAGCCCTTAGCTCCCAGGAAGGCTTGGAAGGGGCTTAAAAGCATGTAGCTGAGCTGGGGTGTGCTAGGACATGTGGGCAGCAGCTTCCAGGAACAGAGACCTCAGGCAAAATACCTGGGTGGCTGGCCAAAGGCCGTACTGAAGGGAAAGGGGATGGACCGATTCATGTCTCAGCCGCTGATTGTGCCTTACATCTTCCCTACAGTGCTACGAGACATCAGTGAGCGAGGCAGGGACCTCGAGCAGATCTTATCTCAGTACATCACCTTCGTCAAGCCTGCCTTTGAGGAGTTCTGTTTGCCAGTAAGTAAGGGGAGTGACACCCACAGGAGTCTTCCCAAAAATGCCTCATACCCTGCCCAGCTCCTCAGACAGGAGCATTTTGTGCCCTAGAGCTCAGATCAGCCTGCCTCACCTTGCTCCCTCCCTGCAGGCACTGGCAAAAATGGGGGTGGCCAGTGCTGGCCAGGGCAGGGCGAGATGGGGACTATTTATACAGCCACTGCCTTCCTGGTGAGATCACCCTCCCCAAGCGAGGTCTGTCTGCTCTACGCCTTGGCCTCCAAGCACCCCTTCAGCCTCTGGTTGTGGGAGACTGCTTTGCCTTCCCATGGGAAGGCCCCCTCACTTGGGGCCAGGGTTGCAAGGTCTGCTTGGAGAAAGGAAGCTACTTTGGGAGCTGATAACCGAGGCAAGGCTCCCTAGCAGACAGGGACTTTGCATGCGGGAGACCACTGCAGTCCTGCAGAACTTGCAGGTGAAATAGCGCATTTGGAGGAGCAGCCGTTGCACACCTCTCCTGGCTCTTGTGGAGAGGAGCCTGCACCTTGGTTCTCAAGGCTTTTCAAGCAGATGTGGTAGTTACATGAGGAATTTCTTCTTATTCTGGAGGAACTGAGCCAGCAGAGTCCTGCAACCTGGGAACTGCTGGCCAGCACCGCAGGCAGGAATTGAACCTGTGCCTCCAGCCTCAGGAACATCTCTGTGCCTGTCTATGTGGCTAGCTCTGCCCCTTCCTGTAAGAGGGGCTGATTCTTTCTGTGCTACAAGATCTTTTCTTGGCTCCTGGGCAGCACTCTCTTCTCTGTCTCACTCAGTTGTGGCTCTGGGGACCAAGGTCCAATTCCAGTGTAATCCCAGAAAGGCTTTTCCTGAGGGGCAGGTCCAGCTTGGTGGCTCCCCTCCTTGCAAGTCCCCAGCAAGGTAAATCTGCAGCTTTGCAAAGCAGCAGATGCTGCATCAGTCTCTTCTGTTGAAGAGTCTGTAGGAGGACAAAATGTGAAACAAGGAGGGTAGAAAACAACTGCTTTGTCCCTACCCACCAGCTTTGCAGTGGTCTGCTCCCACTTCCAACCTGGTGGTGGGCTCAGCTGCAGAGCAATTGCATGCGGAGGTCGAGCAGGCTCAGCACCTCCTGTTGCTGTTACTCAACTCCTAAACCAGCTCTGGGCCAGGTGGTCCAGCACTGCAATGGTCCAGCATGTCCTGGTGATTTTTGATATGGCTGGAAGCACCTGGAGGTGTCAGATGACACACTTCACCCAGCGGGCTGGTTTGTTTTCTGATGGTAGAGCTTGGCTGTCAGGAAGCTGATCAGCTGTAAAAGCTGACACAAATAGAGGAGGAAACTGAGACTGGCACCTGCAGGTGAAAATAGGTCAGGACTGGTGTCCTGACTCAGACAGGTGAATTCAGGTGAATCAGACACCTGAATTCACGTGTCCTGAGTTTACTCTCAGGAAGAGCCTTTTTTGCAAGTGATGCTGGTAGAAAATTCTCCCCACATCCCAAGCAGATCACATGGCTGTGCCCTGCATCTCCACACAGCCCAGGCATGCCAACTCTTGCTCTTGTACCAAGTCTGGCTGGATTCAGGGGGGAGGTTGTTCCCAAAAGCATCAGCTGCTGGAATCTTGCAGTTGTGAGGCTTTTTAATTTCAGGTTTTGTTAGGGTGCCTCTTACTGGAATCTGTATGAGCTCATGAAAATGGAGTCAAGTCATAAAGCATGGCCCTTGAAACACAGAGCAGAAGACAAATAAGAGCATCCAAAATGTATTATCAGCAGCCACATACCTCCCAGTGGGTTTGGGTTTGGCAAGGAAGGACCTGCCCCAGGAAGCAGGGACAATGCCCCAGTCTGCGGGGTCTCCACTTTCTCAGTAATGCAGTGCTCTTTCTCCTTCCAGACCAAGAAGTATGCGGATGTGATCATTCCCAGAGGAGCAGATAATGAAGGTGAGTGGACCCAGACCCTGCTGTTACGTCCTGGCAGCCGGCTTTGGGCTGTTGCGGCAGAGTTAGGTAGGAGGTAGCAGGACCTGCCGTGGAGGTGGCTCAGGCCGCTGCCACCTGAGAGGGTGCTGTTACCACACACCCATGGAGATGAGCTAATGCTGGGACTGGGAGTTTGTGCGCCTCTGATCAAGCCTGGGAGCCCATCTCCAGTGCAGTGCCTCCAGGCAAACTCCTGGTTCATCCCCCACAAAGGGAAACGTGCTTCTCCAAGGCCAGACGTGCAGCTGGGACAGCCAGGTCTCTACCTGGCTGGAATCAGCCTGACCCTACTGGCTTGAGTGCCTCCCCGCAGGGTTGCAGTTCCCCACCATGCGATAGGAGGGGATAGGAGCAGAGGAAACAGCTGGGTCGTTGTCTCTGGTTTGGCTCTAGTTTATTTGCAGTGATCCTAATGCAATCTCTCCCCCATGTCTTTCCCTCCCTTTTGCTTGCAGTGGCCATAAACCTGATAGTGCAGCACATCCAGGACATTCTTAACGGAGGACTCAGCAAACGCCAGAGCAACGGCTACCTGAATGGCTATACTCCTCCCCGCCAGCGGCAGGCCTCAGAGGGCCCCTGCCACTGCCCCTCTGTACATACTGTCTGTTCATTCCCCCCTTATCTATTTAAGAAACCAGACGGAGACGAATGCCTTTAATTTTGTATGTTGGAAATGCCGAACGAGAAACAGCCGGCTGCTTGGGAGCCTGGACCGCCCACAGCTCCTGGCCTTGCTCAATAGCTCCTCCAGCACGGAACCGGCTATAAATCTCTATAAATATAGAATTGCTCTATTTTTGTGTAAACGCAGAATAACGTAAAATTACTTGCCATAAGGTATTTGCCAGGCTCAGTGTTGCTGGGAGGGGGCTGGGAAGAGGGTCCTGGAAGGCGTTGGTGTCAGGATCCTCACCTCAAAGGCAGTAAGGAAGGAAGAGCATTTGACAACTGCTTTAGTATCACAGTGGTCTCCATCCCGGGGAAGGGGCGGGCTGTGGTGGAGGTGGCAGCTTGAGTGTGGCATGGATTTTGTGACTGGGCTGGGGTTGCCTCCTCCTGCCATTGCTGTTCAGGTCCGAGCAGCCTGGCTTTGGCTGGCAGGCACTGCACAATGCTGCTGGGAGTTGGGAGAATGATGTGTAATACCTCCCCTGACTGTCTCTGCACCTCCAGCTCTCAGTCCCTCAACAGCGTCCCTTTCTGTGTCTGACAGCCCTTCCCACCACAGGTGTGGCTCTGCTGTCACACCCTCCAGCAAGGACCTGGTAGGTGATGCTGGGTATGTGATCATATAAATGTGGCAGCTTGCGTCTTTAGCAGTCTCAGTGCCTGGCTTGGGTGGGGGCGGCGTGCGAATACCTTCAGCCCCTCTGGAGCTCGGTGGCCATGTGTGTGGTGGGACTTCTAGCCAAGCCCTGGGCTCAACCCTGCGCCTGGAGGTTGGCTTGCCAAAAGGTCAGAGGTGTGTCTGTCATTCCTCACCTGGGACGGTTTTGCTCTTGGATGGGGGATTTTGGGTCTGTAAGATATGGTTTAGGGAGAACCAGCCTTTTCTGAAAGAAAGGGGCAATGGATGATGAAAAGCAGCTGCTGAGCAGCCTGTCTGAAGGGTGGCAGCAGTGTGTAGCGGTCCCTGGGCTGTCTGGCATCCCTGTGTGGGACATCCACAGGTCCCAGCTGGGTAGCATGAAACTAGATGCCCAGGAGTCCTCTGCTCCCCTTTTTCAGAGCATGCTCTTGCCTGGCCTGTGTCCCTTTCATTGCGTCCTGATGGAGGGCACTGTGTCCCTGCAGTATGTGTCCCCAGGGCTGCCCAGGAAGTGCCCTCCCTTGCTCAGGGTGAGAATTGGTCTCCCTTAACCTGGTAGTGCTGCAACAGCCGTGTCCCAGGAGGGCCTGGTGGGGCAGTACTGCAGGTCTGGGGATGCCTGGAGAGCAAGGTGGGACAGCTGGGCTGGGGCAGGGGCTCAGTGGTGGGAGCCAGGGAAGGGGATGTGGTAGGATGGTAGCCAGGAAAGATCCTTTGGCCCATGCTGCTGGGACTGACTTGCCCCACTGAAAATAACTTTCATAGGCATCCCACAAAGCCTGGAGCAGGGACCCTTAGCCTTGCTCCCTCTGATGATTTTTAGTCTTTCCAGAGCATTGATTTTGCTCTGCATGGTTAAAAGCTTAAGACCTTAGATGCTCAATGCTCCATCAGTCTCCAGCCCCATGTGAGCTGAGACAAGCTTTGATTTTTAACAGAGAGAATAAGAAAGGAGACACATCCCCCAGTGACCGCAGCTGGGGCAAACTCTTGATCTGTGACGGGGGCACATGGCAGCCCTTTATCCTCCTCCCTGTCTGCAGACACTCCCCGAGGCATATCAGCTTTGCCATAATCATGGGCTGGCACTGGCTAATTCTAGGTACAGCCATAGGTAAGAGGGACCGAAGCCCTGCAGAACTGGTGAGGCTTCTCAGGGCTTAAGCAGCCAAGACAGCTCTCAAGATGAAGTACTGGCCTCCTCTCCCCTGTAAATAAAGACAGAACAAATGGATGCTAGTGTTTCTTGTCTCCTGTTTGGTGCTGCATGTTGCTGGCTGCGGTGTCAGTGTGGAAGCAGACTTGGCTATCATTGTCTTAGTTCTGCATGGCAAAGCCAGACCTTGAGCAAAGCTCCTGGCACAGACTGCTTTGGTGAAGAAGGAGGTGCTGAAGGCAGTGGCTCTGGCTTTTGGCTGGCCAGCCAGCTCTCAGCAAGTCCTGGTGCACATGTGGCTCGGGGTGCTTTTGTGAAACCCCTCTGTGCTCTTAGGACAGCAGAGAGAGAGACAAGTTCAGCCCTTCCCGGTAAGTCTCTTGAGCAGATGACAGTCAAGTGAATTTCATCAGAAGACCTTACAGGCAGGGTGGCATTTGCACTAGTGGAGTATCAGGCAAGGGTGAGACTGCTTTTAGCAAAGGGGTAAATCGCTTTACGGCGAATCACTTTAGGTCAGCATGGATTCACGAAGGGGAAGTCATGCTTCATCTGATAACCCTCTATGATGAAATGAGTGGCTTGGTAGATGAGGGAAGAGCAGCGTGTATTGTCTACCGTGACCTCTGTCAGGCTTTTGATATGGTCTCCCGTAAGATCCTCATAGTGAAGCTGTTGATGTATGGGCTGGATGAACAGTCAGCGGGATAGACTGAAAACGGGCTGAATGGCTGGGCCCAAGAGTGTGGTGATCAGTGGTATGAAATCTGTTTGAAGACCAGTAGTGGTGTAGCCCAGGGGTCAATACTGGGTCCAATCCTGTTCAACACCTTCATTAAAGATTGGGATGATGGGGTAGAGTGTCCCCCCAGCAAGTCTGCTGATGACACATAACTGGGAGGAGTAGCTGGTACACCAGGGGGTTGTGCTGCCATCCGGAGGGACCTTGAGAGGCTGGAGAAATGGGCTGACAGCAACTTTTTGACACTCAACAATGGGAAGTGCAAAGTCCTGCACTTGGGGAATAACAATCCCATGCACCAGTACATCCTGGAGGCCCCCCATCTGGAAAGCAGCTTTGCAGAAAAGGGCTTGAGGGTCCTGGTTAACCACAAGCCAGCAATATGCCCTTGCAGCAAAGAGGTCTAAAGGTGTCCTGGGCTGCACTAGGGGGACTGTTGCCAGCAGGTCGAGGGAGGTGATCCTCTCCCTCTGCTCAGGTGAGGCCACACCTGAGTACTGTGTCCAGCTCTGGACTCCCCAGTACAAGAGAGAGATGGAGCTACTGGTAAGAGTCCAGCGAAGGGTCATGAAGATGATGAAGGGACCAGAGCATTTGTACTACGAGGAAAGGCTGAGAGAGCTGGAGAAGAGAAGGCTGAAGGGGTATCTTATTACCGGGTGTAACCGAAACCAGCACTCAAGTTGCCGAGGCGAGCAGCTTCGGAGCCGGCAGGATCGGCAGCGGAGCGCTCTAGTGCGGTGTGCAGGGGGGTTTCCCGACCCTGGGGAGCCTCAGGGGAGCTGAGAGAGACTCCAGGAGCCCACAGCTCACCTGACAGCGGCTGACGAGACCTGGGTGGGGCCAGGAGCATACAAAAGCAGCCCTTAGGGAACGCAGGCGATCAGGGCGTGGTGCGGCAGTTGGGGCGGCAGGGCGTGGAGGAAGGGGGCTGAAAATCGACCAGGGAGCAATGGTCTCCACCCGGCAGAAAGCCACGGCCTCGCTAAGCTCTGCACCCACCACGGCAGACGCAGCTGCCCAGACAGAGCTCCGGCGGGAACGCGCTGCTGCCCAGGTGCCGGGCTGCAGGGCCTGCCCTGCTCTGATGCCAGTACCGGACCGGACGGCAGCAGTGAGCACGCCTGCGGGAGGTGCGTCCAGGTAGAGAAGCTCCTCTGCTTAGTGACAGAGCTCCGGGAGAAGATGAGTAGGCTGAGGGGTATCAGGGAGTGTGAGAGAGAGAGAGAGGAACTGCACCCTGCCTTCCCTCGGACAGGCCCAGCAGGCAGACAGGACCCGTGACACAGAAGATTCCCTATCCTCTCTCCGCCTGGGCTGAACACAGTGACTTAAGGGATCGGGGGCGATGGTGACAAGTTCCTGCCCAGCGCAGCAGGCGCGTCTGCTCTGTGACTGCCCCATCTTCCCAGGTGCCATTACAAAACAGGTATGAAGCTCTGCAAGAGGAACCAAACAGTGACAGGGACGATGGTACATCCAGCTTGGAGGTGTCACCCAGGTTAAGTCAGCCTACACCCAGCATCAAAACAGCTTCCACAAAGAAAAAAAGACAGGTCATTGTCCTAGGAGACTTTCTCCTGAGTGGAACAGAAGCCCTGATATGCAGACTGGCCCCACTTCTTAGGGAAGTCTGCTGCCTCCCTGTGGCCCGGGTTAAAGATGTGAAGAGAAAGCTTCTGAGGGCCGTACCAGGGTAGGAAGCTACCCATTACTGATTTTTCAGGTAGGCAGCGAGGAAGCCGCAACTAGAAGTCCAAGGGCAATCAAGAGAGACTTCAGGGCCTTGGGACGACTGGTTAAGGGATCAGGAGCGCAAGTAGTGTTCTCCTCTGTCCTTCCAGTTGCAGGGAATGATGAGGAAAGACACAGAAAGAGCCAGCAGATCAATACCTGGCTTCGAGCCTGGTGTCTCCAGCAAGATTTCAGTTTTTTTGATCACGGGCCAGTTTACACGTCACCAGGCCTGGTGGCAACAGATAGGGTACACCTGTCTCAAAGGGGGAAAAGGATCCTAGCACAGGAGTTAGCAGGGCTCATTGAAAGAGCTTTAAACTAGATTGGAAGGGGGAAAGGGGTAAAACCAGGCTTGCTAGAGATAAGCCTGGGGGCAGCACACCAACATTTGAGGGACGGTGTGCTAAGCGAGGTCCTTTGGTCTACTGTCTCAGTGGAGGCAGGGGATGGAGATCCATGCGGCAGTAAAGACGCAAGGGCTACGGATGTGTTAGAAACCACGGAAGCACCTGAGAATGTTCACGTAGGAACTAGGGCTTCTCCCCCCAAAAAGGTGGCAGGAGCAATAGCCCAACTGAAGTGCATCTATGCCAATGCACACAGCATGGGCAACAAACAGGAGGAGCTGGAAGCCATTGTGCAGCAGGAAAATTATGACATAGTTGCCATCACAGAAACCTGCTGAGATGATTCTCACAACTGGAGCACTGTGATGGATGGCTATAAAGTGGTCAGGAGCTTGGTTGACAGAGTCTTTTGGGAGGCAGTCCTGAAGGGCAAAGGAGTCCAGGAAGGCTGGACGTTCTTCAAGAAGGAAATCTTACAGGCGTAGGAGCAGGCCGTCCCCATGTGCCCAAAGATG